CCCCAAAACCCCAAAACCCCAAAACCCCAAAACCCCAATTTTAGCTAGATTCATTGAGCACATTGTTATAATTTAAACACCCTTCGATATGGAGAGGTAATTTCCACGGGGTTAAGATCTTTCATACACCTAAATCTTTCTATTTTAATTGAGCCTAAATCTTCTTGGTAAATATAGTGCTTCGACCAAGGTCAGTCAAGACTTCGAAGAGTACTAATTATTAATACTAAAATTGAAGTTAATTAAGGATTTGAGCCATCTGCTTTGGATATCTTTTTGCAATAGTTTTATACTTCTTGGGGTTTGATTTCTTAAGTTCAGCTGCTACTTTTCTCAAAACAGTAGGATTAGGCTTCCTACAGAGATGCATTAGATAGAGAAGAGTGGCAAAAATTAGGTATCCGTTTGCAGCATGTATCATTGTATATTCTGGCTGCATCCCTTTAGTCACCATAGATCCCCCAATGTGTAATTGACCGAGCAGAAGGATAAAGAGAGTTGTGAAGCCAAGTTTACCCATTAATCCAAGCTTTGATTTCATTAAGAAAATCCACTGAATACCTGTAGCTCCTGTCATCAACATGCCTAAAGTCCTGTGGTTGAATTGAATAAGTTTGTTATTGTTCAAAAGATTTTCAAGAAAATAAGTATCTTCATCAAGATCATCAACAGCAGGGAGCCATTTGTTTCCAACTTTGGGATAAGTAGTGATACTCCTTCCACTTCCTGTTCCTGCAGTCAAGTAACCTGTTAATAAGACTAGTGTAAAGAAGAAATGGGTTGTAATGGCTAGATGTCTTCTTAAGGAACCTAAGGCGAAGAATCTTTCTAGTGACTTTGTCTGATCTGGTGATTTTCTGAAGAGATTTAAAGCCATCCATAGTCCATATCCAAAATAAGTACCTATTAATGCATAATGGATAGCTCTTTGATGTCTATCTTTTGCTGGAATAGGCTCTCCTTCAATAGTTCCTGGTCTGTGATTGTCCATGTAATACCCTTGTAGTCCAGTAGTTGCTACAAATCCTGTATAAATGGCACAGAACTGTATCATTGGTCTTTTAAAGTATCCTCTGAATAAGAAATAACCCATAGGAAGAACATGCAAAAGGAAGGCTCCTGGTGCAAGAATCATAGCTGATTTATTTACAAACCAAGTTTGTTTGAATTCCTCAAGAGTCATAGGTCTCCCTCTAGCTGTATATTCTGGATAAATTTTAAACTCTTCGAACTTCTCTTCCCATTCTTGATCACTCTTAGGAGTAGGTCCTTCGCCTTTCCACTGGATTGTATTGGTTCCAAACCTTATATTCCTCATGTAGCCGCCTCTAACAATGAACCCAAACGTGCAAAAGCTGGTTCCAATGAGCCAGAGCCCAGCTTGGACTCTTTTGCCATCCTTAACGAACCTTGCTGCATTCTTGGTCACATATGGTTTGGTGGAGAATCTTCTTTTCACCAAATTTGACCGTATTTTGCTCTGGAATGTTCTATTTAAACCTAACATTTTATTATTAATTTCAACATAAATTTGGAGAAAAGGGGTTTTGGGGTTTTGGGGTTTTGGGGATTTTGGGG